ATTACACGGAGGTACTTTCACACGTGCCGTAAAATGTTACTTTTGGTTACATTTTGTTATATTTGGTAAGATTTTTGTAAGTGTGAATCGGGTATAATACTTTGCACTGTGTTTGTTACATAAAAATACAACCTCAGGTTACTCCTCAGAGATATACCTTCTCAGATTCTGTTTACCTCTGCTTTGTAAATTCAGTTCTATACATATTCTAGCCTATTTCTGGTCATTGATTTCTTCCCTCATAAAATGCAATCATCGTAGTCTCATAGGTCAGTTATGCAGTTTTCAAGAATTATGTCCTTTTTAAATTGACTTTTTTGCATTTTATATATTTATTTATTTTTATTTGGGTTTTTTTAATTGTTTATTCATTATGAAAAATTAAAAGATAAAGATAATTTAAAGAAAAGAAGATTTATAAATTATGCATAGATCAGGATAATTTTTTTTCTTCAGTGTTATAGGTATTTTTCCTATACTGTCAGATTACATTTCCCAGAGGTGCATGGGAAATTCAGTATGTGACATCAATACAAAGGATCTATTCTGTAGCAGTGTCATGGATATCATATGAACAGGAACTGCCATTTAAGATAGTCTTTCAATAAACATATTCCTCTATTAATATTAAGGTCTTTAAAAAAAATATTACATGTTATTATGATGAATCATGCTATATGAATGGAAGTGTTTTCCAATGTTAATTAAACTGTTTTTAGTTTATTTATTTATTTATTTTTTTTTTGTTTTGTAATATTAATTTTAGTTCTAGTATGTTTGTTTTTTCCTTTTCAGTAGTTTTCACGGTTTTCCAATATATTTTACATTTATATTATTTCATAATTTTAAAATGATTTACAAATTATTAATTTTATTATTACATGTACTGTATTTGCAATTCAGGTTTAATGTACTGCAATGAGTTTTGATTTTTTAAAATGGTTGCTGTTTTGGACATTTTTTTTTATTGAAATTTATGCATTCAAAACAGGGGAATAGGGATGCATTCAAAACAGTGGGTAGCAGTCCATCACGTATGTAAAACGCAGGAGAGCACTAAATTGCTCTCCTTAGATTACTAAGGAGAGCATTTGCTCTCCTTGAAAATTTCACAGCTTTGAATAGACGCCCCTCCCCCCAGGGGTGGATCCAGGTGTCCGAAGTAGAGGGGCGATCGAGAGGCAACACTTACAGTACCTACTGTAGGGGATGGACCTGAAGATTTTGTGTTCTTGATGCCCGAAAATAATTTCTGAGTCATTTTAGGCGATCAATAATCGAGGGGACCAGCCTCTTCCCCCTCCCCAAATCCTCCCCTGCCTCCAACTCAAATAAACTCTCACTACAGAGCCTAATTCGGAATAAACCCCTCTCGAAGTAACACCTGGAGCACGCGGAATATCACGTTTTTTGGCGTCACCTGTGTATAACCACACCTATTTTAATCTCCAAACTGTTTCCAAAATGTTAAGTTTTTACCTATTTTGAACCATTGACAATATATTTGCGAACGTTAAAATAAAGAAATTTCAACTTCATCGGCTGATTATTAAACAACAAACAACTGTAAATACTTGTATTCTCCAGGAAAACTTTCATCAAACAACGTATTACCTAGGGAAAGCCCTATTTTTTCGCGTAGACGTCTGTGTATTTTCTTTGTTAAATTTCAAACCGTGTGGGTTTCAACAATCATTTTAGTTTATTCAAATTTAAATATTAATTTACTATACTAGAATATAACAATAACATCGATCATGCACATGTAAACAGAACCCAGAACCATGTGATACAAAGTTCATGCATGGGCAGATAACGTATGCCATTCTACAGTTAAATTACAGTAAAAGCAAGTATTACAACTTAAAAAAAACTCACGTTTTATAGCACACATTATTTTCACACGTTTTTATTCTGAAATTATAACAGTGAACACTGCACAGCGGTATCATTCTTTCTATAACATTACTAGCCTCCCAGCAACAAGACGCCGTGCAGCAAGTTTACAACCATGTGCGTTTTGTGATGATGTTTGTGAAGCTACTCGCGTGACTTTGAGGAAAAAAGTGTTTGTTATTGTTTTTAGCGAAGTGGGTTCAAATACGTACAATGTGTTTCAAACATTGTTTATGAATGAACGTAATGTGAAAATATTTATTTAAGCAACCCAAACCATTGCTTGAATGTCGTAGGAATCCTTGTTGCACTGTAGTGAGTATAATTACAATACTAGGCCAGCAAACCTAGGCTAATTAATTGGGGTAGACTGGGCCTACCCTAGACGATTTTAGCCTCCACGGTTCGCGATCTAGAATTTTTTAGGAGCAGGTTGATGACCAGTGTATAAGCTGAACCCTGACTTTCGTGGTAGAAATCGCATATAAAATTTGTGGCTTTATACACTGGAATATATTGTAGCTTTAGTTGCAAAATTCGATAGATTTTGATTATGGACAAAGTTTCAAAATACAATTCTTGTCATTAAATTTTGTTTTAGTTGCCTGGTAAATCAAGGAGCGCGGTTAGTTGCTCTCCTAAAAGCGTGTTCAGGAGCGAGGAGGAGCGTGATCGCTCTCACGCTCCTTAAATATGATGGACTGGGGTAGGGGACACATCCCCTCTATAACTCTGATGCATTCAGGATCTTGATGATACAAATTCAATATATTAATCTATCTCATGTCTTCCACATCTCTTTTTTTTTTCTGACAGGTATACGACAGCTTCAGGTGATACTGGTAAAAGTTAGTCTTCTTCTCGGCATTCAAATTCATTCCAATGTAACTTATTTAGGCCTAGAAGAGCCTCCAGCTGATCAAACAATTGAAAGTAAGTGTTTTTTCTCAGTATTCCAAATAATGCATTCCAACATAATTTTTAACTTGGCATACAATAGAAGGACTGCCAGATGAAATGTGCCTTTTCAGATTTTTTAGTTATAATCACCCATCCCCTCCCTCTCCACTCTTTTTTTCATTCGACCAACAACAATCTAGATATATCCATTGGATGGGCTTATTACTAGGTAGAGTAAATAATTTTTTCTATCAGGTTGTATTGAGATTCAATGAAATTTCAAGTACGAAAAAAAACTGCAGACTTTAATAGAGATATTTGTTTCAATTTTAAATTATTGATTGTTCACTGAATGTGAACATCTGATTAAAAAAAAAACCAAAAAAAAAACATTGTTATACAGTGTGGTTTTGCATTTTTGGAAAACAAAATCAATAAAATCATCCTCCTTCTTTTCACTAGGTTGAGGAAGCCCTACTGTATACCTGTTTTTAAATTAACCAATATCTTAATCACAAATTTTCTCCACTTAACAAATATTGCTGTTCTCTCTAATCATCTGATGTTATAATTAGCTTCAGAGAATGTTTCATGGTCAAAGAATAAATATAAGTGTCAGCGAGTTTCACACTTGCATGACCAATTTCACGCATAAGAAAAACATTAAAACTTATGTAATTGTAGCGTAGAACCGTAAGATCAGGTAAATGACGTTAAAATGATTGGAATTTTCCCCCATACGATTTTTCTGATGTAATATTTGAAGTTCTTCAAATTGACTACCGTATTGCAATTTTATGCCTCTTTGCACTCTAAATAATTCCTACAGTAATTGCAATCGATCATGATCTGGTAATCTGTAAATATACAGTAGCTACAAAAAGCTAGGTTGTAATTCCCATTTTCAGGAAACCCAAGCCATTGCTAAGTGTGCACAAGTTGCTATGTAATTTTTTGGTTGCTATATAACTTCATCTGTTGCTAGGTGAACCCCTATGTAGTTACTAAGTAGAACTCCATTAGTTTCTATTATATAATCAGAAACCTAAAAATATTACCTAAGTTGCTGTTTCCAAGTAAACGTCAATACATTCTCTAGGTAAAATGTAGATCATTTCATTTTTATACATCACAAAGATCCTTTCAATTCTATTTTAATCATTCATTTTACATTTTGTAAAATTTTAATAAAATTTTCTATTCTACCCCATTTTCCCTAAATTTTGGTAATAATAATAGTAATAATAATAATACTGTAATAATAAAGGTAAATAATAATAACAATAATAAGTTACATTTATATAGCGCATATTGCACAGTGCCTCTATGCGCTTTACATAAAATTACATAAATTATAGAAAAGATGTTGAATTTACAATATAATAGAGTGTGGTGGCAAAACAACGCTAGGTCTCAAAGGGTCAACTATCCGCCTCTGCCCTAGCGCAGTCCCGGTACCTACCTAGGTGGCGCGAACAAAGGAGCAGGTTTCACATTTGTCCTGCCACAGGCGACCGGGTGCTCAGAGTCTGCGACCAAGATAGCGGCCCCAAGAGACAAAGCAGGCCACTCCGTTGTAAAGGAGATATAAATTATTAAACAGTTAATTGTTGAAATAAATGGGTTTTAAGTAGTGACTTAAATGTGTCCACTGAGGGTCCTGGGGCATTCCCCCGCGAAATTGTTGTTGCTGGGCTATAATTTTTTTGTTTTTCTTTCTTTTTTTCTTTCTTTTTTCTTTTTTACCTCCCAAAAGGGGGGGGGGCTGGTTTTTAGATGCAGATCTTAGTGAGCGATGTGAACGATGCTCTTCAATGAGTTTTCGGATGTACGTGGGTGAATTATATAGTTTACTTTTGTAAGTGACCAGCAGTATTTTAAATATTATTCTTTGCATTACTGGTAACCAGTGAGGTGAATGAAGAATGGGTGTGATGTGTTCATGTCGCTTAGTTCGAATACTGTAACTAATCTTGCCGCTGCATTTTGTACTCGCTGCAGCTTGTTAATCTCTGATTTTGGCAGACCGTTCAGGAGGCTGTTGCAGTAGTCTAATCGTGATGTTACAAAGGCATGAATAAGTTTTATTGTTGTTTCTTCATCCAGATAATTTCTAATAGAACCAATTTTGCGGATGGCTCTGAAAGAGGGCTGGCAAATAGAAGTTACATGCGATTTCATTTGTAGGGAATTATCGAAATGTACGCCAAGGTTTCTCACTGTCTGTGATGCTGAGACGGTGCAGTTTCCTATCATGACACTTGGGATGAGTTGACTGGTATTAAACCGTGATGCAAAATGTATGAATTGGGTTTTGCTTTCATTCAAGAACAAGTGATTAGCGATTGCCCAGGATTTTATGTCATTAATGCATGACATGACTTTCTGTAACACTCTACTCCTATTAGATGGCTGGCATAGAGAGTACAATTGTACATCATCAGCGTATATCATACACTGCACAGCATGTATGTAAAACATGCAAAATTATGGATTTGCGGACGATGGGTTTATTTCCGGGAGATTGCTTGCGGGAGTGCTCCTCGAATTGGAGGCAACCCTGTGACATCATGACCACATATAGGCACATCATAAGTATATATATATGGGTATACAACATTATTTTTTCAAAGAAAATTTGATAGTTTATAGACAGCTTCAGTTAAGATGTGTATAAGAGACAGGTATACGACAGCTTCAGGTGATACTGGTAAAAGTTAGTCTTCTTCTCGGCATTCAAATTCATTCCAATGTAACTTATTTAGGCCTAGAAGAGCCTCCAGCTGATCAAACAATTGAAAGTAAGTGTTTTTTCTCAGTATTCCAAATAATGCATTCCAACATAATTTTTGACTTGGCATACAATAGAAGGACTGCCAGATGAAATGTGCCTTTTCAGATTTTTTAGATATAATCACCCATCCCCTCCCTCTCCACTCTTTTTTTCATTCGACCAACAACAATCTAGATATATCCATTGGATGGGCTTATTACTAGGTAGAGTAAATAATTTTTTCTATCAGGTTGTATTGAGATTCAATGAAATTTCAAGTACGAAAAAAAACTGCAGACTTTAATAGAGATATTTGTTTCAATTTTAAATTATTGATTGCTGTCTCTTATACACATCTAGATGTGTATAAGAGACAGTATCAAATCTTCAAATTGATATAAACATTGATGGAGAACCTATCACTCGTGTTAATCAATGCAAACATCTTGGTGTAATTCTTGATAAGAATCTTTCTTGGAGTTCACAAGTAAGTCATGTGAAATCTAAGGCATTGCAGAGCTTGTACTATCTAAAAAAGACTAGCCAAATTCTTTCAAAAGATGTTCAATGCAAACTGTACAAATCCCTAATGGCTCCACACCTCGAATATTGTCATGTCGTATGGCTGTCTCTTATACACATCTAGATGTGTATAAGAGACAGGTATACAGTGGCGTAGAAAAATATTTTTCATTGGGTGGGGGGATGATTGGCGTGTTAGCCAGTGTCGTAACAGGCGCGGGGTGGGGGGCAGGGGGAAACTGCCCCTCCCCTGACGGTTTTTACCGGGCTGACCAAGCCGTCGTACCGGGCTGGGTAATACGAGAAAAGAAACTGGGTAATAAGAGAAAAGAAAGAGGGGAGAGGGAGGAAAAAGAAGAGGAAAAGGAAAGGAAAAGAAAAAGAGAAGAAAAAAATAAAGACAAGAATAAAAAGGAAGATATCATAATGACCAGATTCACAACACTCTGCAAACCCTTCTCCACTTAAAAACCTGTCATAAATCCTTTGATCTATGCTGCCCGTTGGCGTAACCACTGGGGGACAATGGGAAAATATCTATCTTTGGAAAATCTTCCCCACCCCTTTATAAATTCCCTTTCATCCCCTGAAAGTGCCTAAAACCCAAATTTTGCGCGCTTCACGCGCATTTCTTGTTAACGTGGGCCGCGCCAGTTTCCTCTAAAA